ATAAAACCTGAGGGAGATACCGTCAGACAAAAACAGGTTAATAAGGCAGTGGCCTTGAGAGTCTAGCACTGTGGCTTAACGCAGCTGTTCATGACAGTGTTCTCATCATCTTCCATCACACGGCACCATGTATTAGTTTCTTAACTACAGAGATCTTAAGAAGCAGTTCAAGAAATGCTGTGGCGCTCAGGTAAGAACCTTGTTACCTTCCCCCACAAACCCAGAAGATATTACTGAGGCCAGGAGAAAGGCCGGAAAAGGTTACTGCAGAAGAGGAAAGGCTATGTAAGCGTTACATCTGGAGAGACCCAAAACACCCTCTGCGTCACCAGTGTCTCTGGTTCTGCTCCGAGAAAAGGATTTCTAATGGACACAACAGCAGAGGACACCTGACTTAAGAGCAGAGGGGCTGCTGTTAGGCATCCACTTTACTTAAATCTTCCAGCTCTGACTGTAAAAAAATTCCTTGTAGCCAAAAATTTAGCAAGAGGATTGTCAATGTCATATCAGGGAATTATCAAACATTTTAAAAAATGGAAAAAACTACAGTTGCCATGCAGTGCCTTTACTTACACCAATTGTTTTAAAATAGCAGTTACACTGAAAGAAGAATCTCCTGTATTTTTCTTGCTTGAAGTAATAAAGGAAAAATTCAAAGCCTGCCAAATGCTCGTACTTGTGAGCAACTTTAATCCCATGAGCAGTTCTACTGGAAAACAGAACTACTCACAGCAGTAAGTACCTGTCACTCTTCCAGCGCTAAGTGACAGACACAGAATACACGTAAGGAAGTGATATCCTGTACAGGAATCAGCTGACATCTCATGCACCTAACAGACTTTTTAAGTGGGTGCAGAGCTACTCAGCGCACACAGTAATCACACAGAAATCAACAGAGAAATGTTTTCCTTGTCTGTGATTGTTTTTGCAGCAATAATCATCACTGGTATTACTAAGAACAGGTAAAAAAGTCTTGAGGCAGAAACATGTTTTAAAGGATGCCCCCTTAAGACAGATCAAAAATAGAATATTTAAATACGTTACACACATTTTTCAGTCTTAAAATGACCAGGCAAAACTGCGAGCACTGATTTTGAAAGGAAGTCTCGATTCCTCTTCCATAACCTGATGCAGGCATTTCAGCAACTGCTTGCTACTTGATAGTACATGGCTTGCACCATATGGTCTTACCACAGAAATAAGCTTGAGGCTTTGGCTCTGCAGTTAGATGTATGTAGAGATGTCAAGGATAAAGTCTGAAGAACTGAATTGCCTTTGAATAGAACCAAATGGTTTAAGGCACACCACAGCTCGGGTTTATTTAAGGGCTTCAAATTTATTGGGAAACATAAGTGTTTGCTTTCAAAATACTTCTGAATGTTCTTTATTCAGGTTTCCCCAAAGACAGAAAACACCCTCATGCTTTGATACAACAGACTATTTTTTTTTAAATTGGTGTGTTTGTGCACAACTCTCAATTGTAGCCCAATTCAATGGGTGCCAGAACAGACATCCCACTACAAAATCCAACCGGAGTTTGTAAAAATGCTGCTCCGTCAATGGGGGAGGCAAAGGTTTGACCTTGGGTAACTGATACCATCAATTTTCTCCTGCAATAGCCTCCTCCTATGTCTGGATTCATAAGACTCCTTTGAAATGACATTTCCAGACCTGTTGCGTTGTTCTGTACAGCGGAAAATTTACAGGAGAGAAAAATCTGCCTCATTCAAAGTTGCTTTCCAGATGTGAAGGACCAACTCCCCACATTAGCCTACACTGTTCAAAGCACAAAAGCCAGACTTCTATTGCTCAATGAAAAATAATCTTCAGTGAAAAATCACTTCTTCCTTGGTGTGGTTACTGCCATAAAACTAAATTAAGACAACAGGGTTCCCAGAATCAGGAAGCCTTCACATTCTTCTGACAGATTCTGATTTGAATTCAGAATGTGGCTTCATACAGGAAAATTACACTTGCAGTTTTCTTTGTAAACATTCTCAGCTCTGTTGTAATAACTGTGGTAATGTGGATTGAATGCAGAAAATACGTTTTATATAATTTCTTATTTACCCAGCTGCTAAAACACCAAATGATCTACATGACATATGCACATGCTGGAATTGCTTCGTTTGTTATAATGTATAATTTCTCAAGAACAGCTTTAGATGATCTGCACTGTTGAATCCCAAAAATGCAATCTGCTTTGTCCTTATTTAAGAAGTACATCTTGGAATACACATGTGAATTATCTGTAAATACGACTGACTGACTTTTTTTATTTTTAGCACATTTGGGCTGTGTCTTGTGGCAAGCTTATGCATCGGTGATGTACAATATTAAAGCCATTAAAATGGCATCTGAAACTTTTTTTATGAACACAAGCCAAAGTCAATATCCTACCAGTTAAATAATGCATTTCATAATTATAGCAAATATTTAATTTTCAAACAAATATCCTTTTGCGCTCTCAGAATCAACAGCTGCAGTTAACATGATGGTTCACAATTAATAAGGACCCAGGAGAAAACCTCACACAATCAGTACTTTTCATCTACATATTTATGAAATTTCATCAATTATTCATGTAATATTTACTACTGGGAGTGGTGAATACGACAATCATCCCTGCTGGAGAACCAGTCAGTTCTCTTTAAAATGTTGCAAGCAGCATAATTCAATTCTAAAATTGTTATACAGAGATTAAGGGACATTTTTAGGACCTGAATGTTCTGCATGAAACTATTGTTTTCAATTAACTGAACCACAATTCTCCTAATTGATCAACCCCCACACTCTTCTTTAGAAGCCTAGACTTACAGCCACAGTGTGAATCACCCTGCAATTCCCAAGAGATAGCAAATCTTACTGAAACCTCTCTCTGATGCAGTAGTTACCTAGCAGCAAAACCTAGCAACCCTGTAGTATGAGATTAATCCCAGAGTGATCATCATAAAGTAATATCTAAAAGACATTTTATTTAAGTATGCCATCCAAAGGTATATAAAAATCCAATGCGAAAATGCTCAGGCTTCTAACTCTTCAGCTATACAAATTAGAAAAGACTACCCAACAGCAGAACAAGCTATTTATTTGTTGCGCAGCAAGGTCTCATTTGCTCAGCTCTCCCAACAAAGACAGAAAGAACCCAGATCTACAAAGAGATGTGCAAAACATTAGATGCGACCAAGATATTCAAAACCCTTCCTTATCTACAATTTAATGTTCGAGCGATGAAATCCCTTAGTCCCTACAGCTAGTGGATAGGTGCAAATTCCTCAGGCATAGGTTCTGCTCAGTTGCTTGGAACCAAAGTCCTAGCAGGGTACTCAAACTAAACACTTTCTCCCCTTCCTCTTCTACAGCGTAGTAAGCATTTCCAGATCACCTTAGTGTGACCAGGACATGCACGAAAGACAGCTAGACATAAGTCCTCCTTGTTCTGAGCTGTCCATCTGCATCTTACCCAACAATATAGTGTGCACAACCCTCACCTCAGAGGAAAGGGAGTACTCTCAAGGACTGCTGTTAATGGTGCCAGGAGGAGAAAGAGAGAACGTTAGTGAGAATGTAGCATTTTCTCTGAGGGATGGGATGTCCTTGCTCCAAATCAGGGAACAGAAAAACTGGAACTAGGTTTCCTACCTCTTAGTAAATCCCTGCCACACCCCATAACATCTCTTATTAGCTCTCTGGGGTGGTTCCCCACACAGCTTACAGGGAAGCTACATGCTTCACTGCACGGCTGAAGACTCCACCAGGTGACCTGCACTTAAAACATTTGTTCTGGCAACACTCTGCAAAGTTCTTTTGCAAGCATAGCCCAAAGCACCTAACCGCTCCTTAAGCCTTCACTTTGTTTGTTTAGCACACTCCAATTCCACAGAGAGCTGTATATACACTTCTGAGGTAGGCTTGGGCCTGAGCAGCCTTTAGAACCACTGGTCAGGCACAGCTCCTGTGTTTTATTCTTCATATTACAGAACTAGAATCTTTGGGCGCGACCTAGAACTCCTATCATGCAAACAGAGGTTAGAAGTGTGCAATATAAAGAGAACCCACATCTTTACCGAAACTCTGTATTTTTCCCTCATACTAAACGTTAGGCTTTCCAAATGTATCTGTACTTGTGCACTGAACAGTGCGGTTGCCTACTGTTTAAAAATGCTTTGGCATCCTTGGATAAGATGCCAAATTAACAGCACTGAAAACCTGTAGTCTTCCTTTGTTAAGAGGACAGGTAGGAAAGCATGAGCTGAAGTGCCAACTTTCCTGCTTTGCTTTACTCACGCAGAGCAAGAAAACCTATCCTCCAGTGAGACAGGGGAAAGGTAATTCAATCCTCACACCAGTTAAGCTCTCAGCTTTCCTCTGGGACTACCAAAGGGAATAATAGGGGTGTGGACACTAAAGAGTAAATCTGAGTCAGATTCTTGCTGAACTGCCATCTGCCAGTAACAGCCATCACCAAGCTGTAAGATACAATTGGACCAGGAAAACTGATAGCAGAGAGTTCTGGTATACATCCCTGAGCTGCCAAGTCATACATTTAACTATTAAAAAAAATACATAATGGACTGTGACAGTGCTTTTAAGAGAATGGTTTGGCCACAGTGAAAAATAAGCCAAAAAGAAAACAAATACTCCTGTGGTTCTTGTCCTTCAATACTGACAGGAGCTTTACCCATGCCATGAGAGCTACCTGTGTGCAGCCCACATGCAACCTGGCGAGCCACGTTCTGAAGCTCACAGGCTGACAGCAGTGCCTTCTGAATTCATCTGCCAGTGAGGGACTACAAACCATAATGCTGCAAGATTTGCTTTTGCTTCTAATTGCTAAATACTGAACTATTATAACATTGAATTTATTTTTCTCATGTCCAGCTATACCCACAACAGTCACGCTGTTAGTTATAGCCAGTTTTGACTACGATCAGCAACTCATTTTAAGCACTTCTGTGAGCATAACCGAGTCATTAACATCTTCAGATAGCTCTGCTTACCTTAAATCTTTCTGAAACCCCTTCAGTGATGCTGATTGTGAATTCAGCTATTTTAGGAGTACGGAACTTTCCCTTCTTGCGATCAGGTTCATATTCTGTTTTCGTTTTGACCACAACCTGTTAAAAAAAAAAATCAAAAAGCTGTCAGCTGAAAGTAGCCACGGGAATCTTATTTATTCATTAACTCTTCTTTTACCTGCTTACAAGCATATCTAGCGCGATGGTTTTTTTACCCCCACTTTGTGTAATTCTTCTTTGGAAGCTGTAAGCTGTTAGTTATTTTTCCTGTCATAGCAATCATCGACAAAATTATCTCTCAAAGCAGTTCTGAGGGACCTACGGGAAGACTTCGTTATGCAACAATTTCACAAACGTTCAATTTTTTCAGCTGGGGTGGCACTGTGCTGCTACACTAGGCAAGCATCTACTTAGTTCAAATCCAAATCATGAAGCTTCCCACTCCATATCGTTTGAAAAGAACCACCTCCATTTGCTTCAGGAGGTCCCAATAATGGGATTTCAAACTGGAGACCGATGGGATGAGACGATTATTGAAAAGTGCCCATACAAATCTAGCAGATGATGATGCTGCCAGTAGCCACGTTCTTTGGTATCAGGGTAGTGTTTAAAAGAAGTGAAATGACCCATCCAGTTGCTATTCGCTATGTACTAGACCATAGCTCTTGGCACTCTTATTTTTAACATCTAACTTTTGAATTATCAGCTGCAAGCAGCAAGATGCACACAAACCCTTGTGTTAACGAAATCTCTTGAAACAGCCAAGGCTCTTTAACTTCAGCTCATTCCTTGCTATGAGCTATTGCTCCAAGCTACACAATTTAGCACCTTACTTGTATTCCTAAAATACTCATTACGTCAGTCGTATCTCTAGTGCTCTCCTAGGCATTCTAATTGTACAAAATTTTCACATACCTAACCTATTTGCCTCATTTTTGTCTTCTACACTTTTTCAGGATCTTTTTCAAAGTATCACTCTCAAGGTAGGGTGCAGTTTATTGTACTGATGGTACTAGTAAGATTTGCTCAATTTTCTCTGTTGGTCCAAAGAATAAATATCTAGACCCCTTTAGATTTTTAGAACCAGATTCTGTCTTTAGAGCAGCCTGTGGTATCAATAACAACTACATTATTCTGAAATTAAGATTGTAACACTCTCAGGTAGCCAGGTACTGAAATTAAAGCTTTGGGTTCCCCTCTCCTCACTTCCCTGAAATGGTATCTACCATGTGCAACTGTACCTACACTCAGTACCACAAAGCTTAATAGACACTTTTACAACATTATACACAGGACACAGGCAGTTTCTAAAGCTATTTCAGCTATAAGTAATAAGATAACAATTATAACTATATAAGCTTCATGATCGCTCAACAGCATCATGGAAGTAAACCATATGAAGATTTTTGGAGTGGTTTTTAACATTTTACTTCCCTTCCTCCCCCTTTATGTTGCATAATCTCAGGCAACTCAAATCACATTCAGCTGACACTGAACGTACAGTTCTATCTGCTTGGTTATGTAATGTCTTCTTTTGTTTAACATACCTAAACATGAATTTAAATCAGTTCATCCCTTTAATTTAGAAGCTGTCAAACTCATCCAATTCTTAGTGCTGTAGTCACTACTGTTCAAGAAGTTATGTTTCACTGCCATACTGGAGCCTTGTAAGTGAATAATAAGCACAGATATATGAAGTATGTACTCCTATTCATTATATACGAGTGTCTTCGTACTTCAGAATTTGACCTGTGTGCCAATCTTGACTTAATGCTATTTCGTTTTTTCACATCAGTTGCTCTACTACTGCCTTGGAGACCGTAGCAACCAGTAAAGACACACGGACATGACTAACCAGACAATTACAGAAGGAAACCAGCAGGACCAATAAATACATGTTTTTATTTTTCCTCTCTATGTTTGCGAAAGGAAAGGGAAGCTAATATACAAATAGACAGTGGAAAGAGTAGAAGAGCCAATCAAACATTCCTTTATTTAAGCTTCTAGCCTAGTTGTACATCTGCTTTCGTTCAAGGCAAACACCACGAAGGTGGGAGGAGTTCTGCCCCATTCTAGTAGGAGCAATCGGGCTGGCACAAAACCTCCCGGGTTCACTACAGAGGCTCCGCTTTCGTTAAACCTATTACCATACAGGTCCCCCGTTCAGACTTCTGCTTAGCAGCACAGTAACATCACAAAGCCCCTTGGACGCTGGTCCCTGGTAATCAGTTATATCCAGTCACCAGTTGGCAGGCGTATCAGACACAGTAAGGCTTAACTCGTTTTAGAGCCTTAGGGTGCAATTTTGTCCTCAGTTACAAGATTTACACCCATGTAACCAAGGGCGGAAAATGGACCCTCAGGCTCTCTAACAGCTGTTATGGCTTACTGCAGTTATGCCTTCCAACTGGTCACCACACAACACAGAATGATGTTGATAGCAATTAAAATGGAGGCACAAATTTATTTGAATTGCCTACAAGCAACACTCTACTGAGGCAAATTTCACAAGCTAAAATTCTTTACCCCAAGATAAGATTATGTGATTTTTTTTGAGCTATGAGGAACACGTAGCCTTCAGTTTATCTAGAAGTAGAATTGAGCTCATGGAGGACACAATGCCAAAAATAAAAATCAGCACGAAGATATTACTATTTCCCAGTTAAATTTTGTATTTTTCAAAGACCGCAAAGCTTTTTTGCCAGATGCATATGTGAGAAATGTGCAAGCAAGTATCCTACTACAACAGGATACTGAAAAATAGGATACTGAAATACCTGAAAAAGTATCCTGCTACTGTATGCCTTACCTGTAGTAACACTTACTGAATTCTTTATTGTGAGGAGAATAAACATATTTACAGGCTATGACATCACCTTCCTAAATCCTTAAAATTAAATCCTTAGTAATCAAGCCATATAATGAGGAATGCAGGATGCACCAACCTGCGAGCAGCACGTTGGACTGCTCCCTTCCAGCTACGGAGCATCTGAATCACCTATTTGGAGGGTTTTGAACCACATAAGTTGCCAAGGAGAAAACTGAGTGGCCTGTTCTTATCCCATTATTTCAGCTTGTCTGGGGCTAGCATTAATTTCCTACCAAAGCACAGAAGGAACATGGAAGTTCTTTCTCTCTGTGGCCAGTCTGCCCATGTACATCTTGCAGAGACACAAAGCAGTGCTTTATCCCCCCATTAGGGGGGCTTTTTCTGGACAGAGAAAATTCACGTCGTTCACAGAGAATACACAGTACCTTCCAGATGCAAAAAAGAAAGATACAGAATAGGATGCTGACAATACAGCATAGAGAAGCTTGCATTTGTGTGTTTATATATTTCATACAGCAGCACTGAAATCTATATAATGCTTATTGCTAACATTTCCACTGCTTTTTAATGCAAATCACTACTACTGGATTTTCATTAGCTTAACCGTTATGTTTTTTTTCCCCAGAGGGAACTAGCATGCCTTAAAACACTCCATATTTCTTGACATTTCTAAGCTGATCGTTACACGTAACCTATTCTTTTGTTGTTTGCCTGAGATTTGGGTGTGATTCTCCAGGGTGGAAACTAAAGCCTACTGTACCTTATCGGGAGGTGGGAACTGGAGCTGATTGACGTCCAGGGGTGTGATCAAGGGGATGGTGTCAAATCCATCCTCCAAAAGGGGCTGCTTTGTGCTCTTCTCGCTGAAATTATTCCCCAGTTTCACCATTCTTCCAGGATAGAGGGTTTTTCTGCTGGCACACACAGGCACAGAAATGCAAAATGTCAGAAACTCGGGATGCACCAGACCTTTCCCCAGCCCCCGGGGAACCCGAAATATCTTACAAAAAAAAAAAAATAAAAAAAATTACGCGGTGGTCGCCGTGACTCGGTTACATATTGGCGTTTTAGGAACGAAGAACGACGGCCAGCGCTTTTATTGTCGAAGTTAAAAAAAAAAAACAAACCAACAAAGCTTTCTCCATCACCGCTGGGTTATCTTTACCACACAACTTCAACTTTGTGGGTTTTTGGCATATGAACTTTGGTCTAGGGCTCTTCTCAGATCTTACGAATTTTACTCGAGCTAATTGTGCTAACTGTGCTTAGGCTTGTGCGGCATAGCCTGAAAGTGGTCTGAGCTCCCTCGGTCTCATCAAAACAGCAACTCAAACCATGCTGTGCCTCATGTGTTCAGCGCTGGAGCTGGACCCTGCAAACTCTGACAGACGTCTGTTAGAAAGTGAACGTTGCTGTTTACCCCCTCCCACTAACTCTTCTTGGAGTCCTCTTGTACTCGGTATTATAAGGGCATCTTTGAATAAAGTCCTACAGTCCTTTTCCAATGTCTATTTGAAAAACTTCAGCGTATTTTCTTTAGACTTGGACAATTTACATCAGAAGGGACCTCCAGAGGCCACCTGCTCCAAACCTCTGCCCAAAGGGGAAGGCCACCCCTCATTTTTACCCTCCAATTATTAGCTCTTCAGTTTTCAGTACAGAAATTAACCCTGAATCTAACTATAGACACCACAGTGATTTGTGATGAAAAGCAAGCATCATTAACACGCCCTGCATAACAGGTTTTGGCAAACATTTTCCCAACAGCTCATCTTCCAGCCAGAAGGACTCACTTTAAATCAGATTTCTTCAGCGCTAAAAATCCTTCCTGGGTTAGTCTGCACAAATATGTCATTTTAATTGATCTCCATCCAGCAAGCTTTTTGTCCGAAAAATTCCACTTAAAACTTCTAATTTTTGCGTTAAGAGCTGCATACAAAAACATCAACCCCTGAGTCCAAAGGAGCAAAATAGGACGGAAAACTATAAGAAAAGAGGGGATATAAAGAAAATCCAACAAGTTTGGCAGGGTGGGAAGGAAGAGTTCTGCTCCTGTCTCTCTATGCCTCCCATCACAGCTGTATAACCAGACGCCTGATATCACTGGTTAAAAAAAAAAAAAAAAAAAAAAAAAAAAAAAAAAAAAAAAGCGTGAGGCGGGGGAGCCGGGGGTTGTCACCGGCCGGTAGCTGCGTCCTTAGCGCCTCGCCTGTTTCCCCGCCGGTCGTTCCTGCAGGGAAAGGGCGAGCGGGCTTGTCAGGACGGGGAGGCCGACTTTCCTCTCTGCAAAGGGGGGGGGAAATGCGAATATCGGAGCCGGCGCTCGCGTCACTTCAAGGTAAATGCGTATTGCAGAGCTTTGCAGCCCGAGTGGGAGAGGACATCTTATGATCTCGTCTGTCTTGGGGGGGGAGTGATTCATATTCACTGTGCTGTCTCCTATGACCCAAGGCAAGCAGCCTGCTCATTCTGTAGTCCTGCCGGTGCGTTGCTTCCCCGCGTGTGGAGGGAGCGCCGCTGTAGGCGATGCAACAAGTGGCTGGGGTGGCCGGCGCTCGGGAGAGGGGCGGCAGAAGGGTGCGCAGCCCAGAGCCCGTTTCAGGCTTCGGAACCAACCAACCTCATGGATGATAGCATGAGCAGCCCCTCTTTTCCCTTCTGTGCTTTGTGCGAGCACAAATTACAGGCAAAATATTGTAAAGTATTAAAAACAGATTGTAAAACTTGAAAGTGACTGCAATTCTTATTTCAAATTGTCTTGCTCTCAGAGCATCACTGTGTTAGTTTATTCTACCATTCAGACAAGGTTTTTCTTGGTACCACAAGGGGCAGGGACTGAAGGTTTGCTTGTGCTTGGGATTCAGCTGTCGGTCCACAGAAATATTTAACAGGGCTGATGCAAACGTGAACTGCAGATAAAAGTCAAACCGTGCTGATCACAGCTTCTCTTACCCTAGGAACTGATAGGTTACAGACGTGGCTTTCCTGCTGTGCATTTAAAAGCACCAGACACAGGTCATCAGTAGCTGGATTTGGGCTAATTCTAAAATGGGCACGGTTGTAATGTGTGCAGATAGAGAACACCAGCGATACTGCAGCGGTGAGCCCTTCTACCTACAAGTCAGAATTTCATGTCTTTAATGGGAATTTAGGCTTTTCTATGCATAGCATAGCAAAACTAAGGGGTTGGTTGTTTTTTTTTTCCAAATCTCAAAAACAACTCTGATTTTTGTGAGTATTGTTTTTAAACTAAGGATTTTATTTTGTCTGAAGGTCACGTTGGCCATCTACATCCTTTGTTGGCTCTTGTGCAAGCTCTTCAGTGGGTGTTAAGAGTGCAAATGAAACCTGATTTCAGTTACAGTCACTGGAGAAAGTCCTGTTGGAGTCATGATTTCACTCACTTCACATAGGAGAATCTCAGCGAATCTGGTCCGGAGTTAATGAAAAAAAAAATGTACTCAAGATTGTTTAACATCCTATTGATAAAAAAATAAATCTCATTCTCGCAGTTTAAAAATGATAATAGGATTTTTTTTTGTTGGCTTCTTAAAGAAAGATGCTCTGGTTCCTGTCATCTCTTTTCCTTTTTTCTCTTTGGGGAATAATTGGGTTTTTTTCCTCTCCTTTCTTTCTCAGAGGGCATAGAACAATGGATTTTCATTCATTGGCTTTGTTTTTTTGTCATAAACATCACTGTTAATGCTAGTGCCATCAGCGCAGTTCTGGGAAGTACGACTTAATTAGTTAAGCTGCTGGCTGGGTAACTACCTTTGCAGCAGCCAAACAAACATCCTGGAAGATGAGAGCAATCACTGGGCTAATACTTACTTTTAAAACATTCTTAATGGAATAGCTTACTTCAAATACAGAACAGACTACTCCCAAACCAACACAGAACATTTTCAAGGTAGAAATTGATTGTTTTGCCTCTCAATTACTGACCAAGCAGTTCTGATTTTGTTGTTGTTGTTGAAGATCATACCAAATAGAGGAGGACTCTGAGACAGTCAATTTGCCTCTGAGCATTATAAGGGCAGCAGCATTTATATACCTCTCCATGCCTTATTTTTGCAGCCTGACATGTTCGGAGCATCTTGACCCCTGTGTCTGGCAAGTATGGCTGGTGTTCGGTCATTAGCTCTCAATAGTTACTGATTTCTTTTGTGGTTTGTTCCAGTTGTCCAATCCAAAATGCATTCCATCTCTCTTTTTCCGAGGTCAATGGTCTGTAATGCAAGAGGCCCAGATTCCCTTCCTGGCTGTGGCATAAAGCAAGTCATGTCTCTGACCATGGATCATCTTGTCTCTCTCTCTCATTTATTTCTCCCATCAGTGTTCTGTTCTGAGTAAATAAAGTGTAAAATAAGCTGGTCTTACCTGAGTAACATTTCATAAATCATACTTGAATGTGTTAAGTAGAAAAAATATGTTATTCATTTTCTATAGGAAATTGCACCTCTAAGTGGAAATGAAGGGGTTTCTCAGAAAACAAAAAGCACTTTAATTATTTAATTTTGACAATACCCTTGTCTTACAAGCGAGTGTTCTAGAACAGAACAGATGAATAACCCACGGATGGATGAGTGTAATCCATTCATTTGTGTGTGAAGCCAAAGTCAGTCAGAATCCAAATGACACCAGAAGTCCAAGTGATGATCAGAAGTGCGTTTGACAGTATACTGTACGGAGCCAAACAACATGGCAAATGGTTTAACACATTGACTGACTAGGTCCTTTCATCTCCAGCTTATGTGATTTTATATTCGAGCCCTTCTGTTGGCTGAAGGTGGTCAAAAGCAACGGGCAACTGTGTATCATCAAGTGTGTGCCTGAGGAAGTATCAGCATCAGATTAAGACGTATGGATGTAAATTCCCCAGTTGACTGGTGAGGCATTTTTTTCAGTTATTTGAGCATGTTCACGGGGTACTCTGTTTCAGTGTCCCTTGCAGAGAAAAGGAGAATTTTTGGATAGCCTATCTACAGTGTAAGTTATTCTTCTCTTTGGCACTGTGCGTTTCTTTAATGGTAATCTGCCTTTTATGACCTTCGCTAACTAGGCATAGTCTTATCCAGTTCTCTAGTTTTACAGAAAAATCCTTACATAGCATTTTTGTTAAGCGACTAGATACTGCACTGTTGCCACTTGGTACTACGACAAATACTTGGCTTACCATTTTTCATTTTAAGTGCATTTCACCCAAGATACTATGCCGTAACAGAAAAAAGATATGTGTTTGTGTGTGCGTGTGCATATACATACACACACACTAATAAGTGTCTTTATTTGCCGGGTATGTGAAATGAGCAGCTAAGAGGATTTCATTTCTGATACCAAATAACCAACTATAGTTTGCTACTGATGCTTTTAGAAGAAAGAATGAGGTAACTTACTAAGAAAACTGGCATGCTTCCTAGTCAGAAGCTGCTGCCTTAAGGATGCAAAAAGGTATATATTAACATAAAGAATATTTGAAAAGAAATGTGTCTTCCAAACTAGCACACCTCTTTCCTCCAGAGCTCCTGCTGTAGGTCATTTTGCTATGGTTATCCAGGGGGTTATAAATTTTGGGAAAGGACTGTCCTCCTCTGTACCTTCTCTGGAGTAACTCAGCAAGTTCCAGGTGCTTAACAAATAACACACATCCTTGCCGAGGCACTTAAGCGTCATGGCCAGCAATCTTTATCTAATGTTAGTGATCTCTGAGGAAACACGATAGCTCCTTGTGGGTTTTGACTGGTATGTAGGCAACAGAGAAAGCAGCCAATGCACAGAATTGATGACCTAGCAGCTAGTCTCATTAAGTCAGATTGTACCCTGATTTACTTACTCTGAAACCTTAATGGTCTCAGTGAGGTTAGAATTCACTGTGTGTACCATCAGCCTAACTATGAAAGCAGAAAATTTGCACTACCATCAAGCAGCTGTAGTTCTTCCTAATGAACTAACTAATGGAGAAAAAAAATAAAGGAAGTAATGCCAAGCTTGTGTCTGCTGGCACTTGGTCCAGGAAACGGTACAGAAGTCTTCCTTAACTAACAGTAGGCCTGTGTCTCATAAAAGCTGGAGAAAGACCAGTTGCACGGGACAGCCTGCGTTTTGACCTAAACCGAG